CGCCAACAGCCACAGGGTCCAGGGGCGGATGAGCAGGCAAATCAAATGTGGTGAATACCTACAAAATGGAGCGTTCTTCAGCCTTAAAACGGGAGGAAGTTCAGACACATCTGCTATGGCACGGATAAATCCTGAGGACATTTGCTGAGCGAAACAAGCCAGACACAAAAGGACAAGTGCTATGCAATTTTCACTTCTGAAAAGAAGTCAACAGGAGACTAGCGGTTGCCAGAGGCCAGAGGGATGAGGAGCTGTTGTTGGTGACTCCCTTACCAAGGTTCGGCTTTTCATTTTTCAGCTTTACAAAGCTGTGCAAGTGATCGGCATTCCATAGAAATTATACTTTAAGATTGGAATTTGGATCTTCTCCTCAGGTCAGGATACAGAGCACCGTCCTCTCTCATGACCTGGACAGAGGCAGTGAGTGACGGCTCCCAGGTAGCCCTGCCGTCCTGAAAGGAAACACCCCATGTTATGTTGACTTTGGGGAAACAACTAGAAGTTGCATGGGGCCAGACCCAGGGGACAAGGTGGATAAGGACGCGCTGCAATGCCTCTATGACCTGCCATTACACTAGTTGGCCTCTACCGCCGCAGTCACTGTAATTTTTAAAATCAGACTTGCTTCAGAAAACAGCAAGAATGGTGGGATATCTGTTCCGAATGAGGGAGAGTTTTGAGGAGGATTACAGTCACTCTGTTTTAAATTAACTCTAGTTAATTTAAACACTCACTGTACTGCTCAATCACCCTTTTTATATATCATTTTGCATGTTCTACTATTTTTTTTTTTTTACTTTTTGGGGTGCTAAGGATTAAAGCCAGGGCTTCCCACATGCTAGGCAAGTGCTCAGCAGATAAACTCTTCTGTTTTGATCTCTATCAAATATGGTTAGATGCTGGGACACAGAGTGACAGGCCTCCCTAGAGCTGGCTGCAGAATCATGAAAAGGTTCAGGTATAAGAAAAATAAAAGATGCTTAAGAAGGGGCTAGGAAAGATGGTTAAAATTAGCACAGGATGGAAAACACACTTGATGATAGGCATTACTGTAAATGGGGAGGGAGGGAGGATTGAAGGGGCAGGGGACTGGGGGAAAAGCATCAAGTTATATCACAGACAGGGACAAATTCTCTATGTTGCATGTGATCTTTATGCATTTATCAAATGTACCAATATGCTGGGGAGATGGCTCAGTGGAATAAGCGCTTCCCTGGCAAGCACAAAGACCTGAGTTCAATCCCTGGTTCCACCAAAAAAAAAAAAAAAAAAAAAAAAAGAATGAACAAATGTACCAATAAAATCTGACTAAAGAAGAAAGAAACATTAAGAACCAAAGAAACTGGTAATACTGGCAACTTGTTTCTCACTTTTCATGGCGCAGGATGTTGCTGTTTTAAAGCGTTCTCTGTAGTCTCACTCAGAAAGCCAGCTCAGGAAACGTTTTCCTCACTAGTGAATGTAAGACCTTTGCAACAGAGACCGCTAGTGTGTGAGCACATGTCTGTGCCTCATCACATGTGCAGGTGACAAGACACTTGGCATCTGTGTTGTGATGAAGTTACACCCTAAAGCCTATTCATTGTCTACTTGTAATAGCTGTCTTGTGCCCTTCACAGTGATTTTCAGTTCTGCTATCAGAAGCAAGTCAACTGTTACTCTGGTGACAACCGGATATTTCACACCATCATTTTTTTTTTAATTTTTTTTTACATTTATTTATTATTATTATATGTGTGTGTGTGTGTGTGTGTGTGTGTGTGGCCAGCTCAGCCCACCAGGGGGCGGGCTGGCTGGCACGTGGTGCTGGGGGATCGAACCTTGGTCCCTGTGCTCTGCCAAGCTTGTTCCAAGTAGGTGCTTTAGACCACTGAGCCATCTCACCAGCCCCACACCATCATTTTGATTACAAATGAATGAATTTCATACTGCAGTTGAAGATACTTTGCACATTTCACAGAAAATATGTCCATGGGAGAAAACCTGTTCCTAAACTCCTTATTAAGGGCATTAACATTTTATTATTTCATGACCTGATTTTTTTTTAAATTTTTTTATTTATTTATGTGTGTGTGTGTGTGTGGCCAGCTCAGCCCACCAGGGGGTGGGGCTGGCTGGCATGTGGTGCTGGGGGATTGAACCATGGTCCCTGTGCTTTGCTAAGCTTGTTCTAAGTAGGTGCTTTAGACCACTGAGCCATCTCACCAGCCCCCATGACCTGATTTTATTAAGGTATCTTCAATCCTTAGTAAATTCCTTTCAAAATATTAACTATATGTAACATAGTTTTAAAAATATTTTCACATGATATTTTAACTGTAAAATACAGATAATATTTTTATATAAATATAAATGCACTGGTATGAAAGGAATACTATTTTTTTCCAAGCTGTTATCTTCAAAGGCTATAAAATTACTCCTATGCTGCCATAATTCAAATATTTGTAATGAACAGCTTTTAAAACATTCTAACACAGTGTCATGGATGCCAACATCTTAGGCAAACACCTTTCCTATTTATGACATTTCTGGAGTTGTCACAAACCTATAATCTGCGACTTCACCATAGTTGTCATGTTGAGCATCTAGCTGGTGGCAGGCAGTCACCATATGGGTTAAAGTAGTTTCAAAGGATTTCCACCTTCTGCTGTTAAGGATCTCTGTAATTGACTCTTTCATTTCACACAGTAAATTACTTTAGTGCATGATGTCTGCAGAACTTCCACAAGGTTTTCTTGCCAAAATTATCTTTCAGAGTTTTCCAGGCGAGTGTCTCTGGGTCAGAGAAAGCCAACAACCCTCAGCATCTCCGGATGAGCCTGGGAGAAGCTGGCATTTCACCAACTGCCCGGCATGGCAGTCAGAGCCAGGCATGCTTGGGCACAGGCCAGGATGTGGGCCAGGTGACATCTTCCTCATGGGTCTAGGGTAACTGCCCAGGACTCCATCTAGTACTTTCTTTTTGTGGCCGGCTTAGCCCACCCTGGAGGCAGGGCTGGTGCAGCATGTGGTGCTAGGGATCGGACTGCAGTCCCTGTGTGCTTGCCTAAGTGGATGCTTTAGACCACTGAGCTATCTCACCAGCCCCCCCAATCTAGTACTTTCTGACTCACATCTTGAGGAAAATCAAGAGAAAGCACTTGGCAAAATTAAGGGGAACAGAGCAGCTCCCTTCTGCTTACCAGTTTGTGGTAGAAAATACTTCTTCAAAACATGTTTGGATACACAAAGGAGTTGAAACAGCATTGTGAAAAGTTCTGTCATTATACGAGGGAAAAGCCTTAATATCTAAGAAGATAAAATCTTGTTTTCTTCTTCCATTTTTTAAAAGGCTATTAACTGAAAACTTAATTGATTCATCAAATGTAATAGCTATTAGGTCTCTCATCATCTAGCATGTGCAAGGTGCCAGGTGCAATTTTCAATGCATTTATATTTGCACTTGGACAACTCTGCAAGATAGGTCTGATCATACCCATTGTACAGATGAGGAAACTAAGGCTTAAGTAATGTGCCCAACTCCTACAGCAGAGCAGGATCTGTGCCTCAGGTTGGAGTTGAGAACCTGTACTTCTAAGCAGTCTGCCAGCTCAGGGGGCTAGCAAACAGCAGGAAGAAAAGTCCACTCATTCTCTTAGTAAAGTGCGGTCTGCAATTCTCCAAGGTAAAGTGAGGGATTAAACAGAACCTGGAAGCTCAATTACTTTTTTAAAACATGTATTTGGTACAGGGTCTCACTACTCAGCTTGGACTTGTAGTGATCCTCCTGTTTTGCAGCCTCCTCAGAGCTGGGATTACAGGCATGAGCCACCATGCCTGGTCTCAGCGGCCAGCTCAGTGCGTCCAGGATGGTGCTGGCGTGGCACGTGGTGCAGGATCAAACCCCAGTCCCTGTGCTTGCCTAAGCAGATACTTAGTTTGCTGAGCTATCTTGACAGCCTGCTCAGTTACTTTTTTTTTTCCAGTTACTTTTAAGATAGTTTGAAGTAAGGAAAATATTTTAGGATTTAAACAAGTTTATGAACTATTCCCTCTTGCAGAAAGCAGCTGGTAGTGTCCATTTACAATATCTTATCTCAATGAAAACTGTGGCAGTGGAGGTGCGAGGAAACTTTATCCTCTCCCTTAATTCCCTATGGAAAGGGAATTAAGTCAGACAGGAAACACATCCCTTGGGTCAGCTGAGAAATCAGGAGGAATCTGAGGACCGTGTGGTGGGACACATGTCACACAGTTTTCAGGTTAGACTGTAAAATTAAAATTAAATAGGGGCTCCATTTGCCTGGTCAGGGCTGGTCCAGCAGGGAGCCTCCAACAGCTCATTTTCTCTTCTTACAGTTCCACCTTCTGGAGATTACTGAGAAACATGACTAAAAACTGCTCATACGTTAAGTGTGGGGTAGAAAGAGTTAACAAGTTGGCTCAGAGGAAAGACAGGAAGCATGACAAAGGTGCTTTAGCACATGGCAGTTTGCAAATCAAACCAGAGCTCCAAAATGTGATGATTTTGCTAAGCTACCATAGCTCAGGCAAGAAGGGGAGACGCCCTTGTGTGAATTCTTTGAGCATATCATGTTCTCCCCTTTGCTCAGAATTCCATCCAGATGCTGTGGCCTCAAAGTACTTAGGTAGAAAAAATTCTAACAATATTTGCACAAGTAAACTGAACTTCATTCAAATGGGCAAGATACAAATGTGTAAGAGGGATATTTATGTTATGATTATTAAGGTTACTTGAAAGATAGGATCACGTCATTTAAAATTACTAAATCTTAATGTATGAAAAGAATGGTTCACGGGAGTGGGGGGAAACCCTATTTCCAAAAACATAATTTTATTTTCTCTAGCTCTCTCTATATTTTCAGCCTTCCACACTTGTCTTTCCTAACATAACCAACGCAGGATTGTTAAAGTTTTGAGCTAACCTGGACAGTGGACATGCAGCCTGGAGCAAGACAAAATAAAAAACAGGCAAACCAAAAGCCAGAAGTGTTTCTCTTGATATTTATATAGCGCATTTACAAAATTAAAGCAAATCCAAATGGATATTATGTAAACACGTTAGTGACTATTAGTATTTACAATTACATATATACGTGCAAGTGCAATCGAGTAAAAAGCTAAATTTTAAATAATTGATGTGAAAAATACATAAAGTGTGACCAATCCCTCCACTTGAGTACTTTTTATATATTAGGTGCTAAAAAATATATAGAAATGTAATTAGAAAATAATCCCCAAGTATATTCAAGTGGAAGATATTAAAAGTCAAGGAGGTAAGAGAAACATTTTGTTCGAGGTGATTTTAATAAGTAGAGGAGATGAGAAAAAAACCGGAGTTTGTCTCTAGGGCACCGCGCCTATCCGATGATCAGTTGGAAACAAAGCGCGCAGTCTCCCTCGGGCCAGTTTCCCTGCGGATCGGGCCGGCCAGGAGCTCTCAGGAGCTCTCAGGCTCTCGTGGCCGCCGCCCCCGGCCGCCCCTAGTTGAGGCAGGGGCAGCAGAAGCAGCAGATGGTCCGGCACGGGTTCTTCCTCTTGTACTGCACGGCCTTGCGCACCTGCGCCTTGGCCTCGCCGGTGTACTCCAGCGTCTGCTGCACGTTGAACTCGATGACGTCCAGCGCGTCGGCCTGCTGCTCCACCAGCACGGCCATCTGCAGGAAGAGCTCGTGCACGTCGCGGATGCGGCTCTCCAGGCGCAGCAGCTCGCGGTGCCGGCTCTCGATCTCGCTGAGCGCCGCGCGCGCGCCCTTCACGTCGGCCAGCAGGTTCTCGGAGAACACGTCCCACTTGCCCTGCTCGAACATGTCCTCGATCTGCTCGCCCGAGACGTCCTTGCCCATGATCTCCAGCTGGCGCTGGATGCGGATCTTGCAGTTGTCGCGCTGCTTCATCTCGGCCTGGTTGTACTCGTGCATGGCCTGCTGGAAGGTGCGCGTGAGCGCGCTGTACTGCGCGTGCGTGATGCGCGCCACCGCCGAGTGCGCGCCGTGCTGGGCCTCGGCCGCCTCGCTCAGCTCCTTCATGGCGCGCAGCTTGCGGTGGATGCCCTCGCCGCGCGCCTTGATGGCCTTGGCGATGGAGTTGGTGTCGCGCTTGATGCTGCTGAGGCGCCGCATGGACGTGAGGAAGCGCACGTTCTGCTTGCCCAGCCGCCGCACATCGGCCGCCAGCAGCTGGTTGTCCTCCTGGATGTCCTGGATGTCCCGGTACAGGGACTCCAGAAGGTGGTCGGTCTCGAACACAATGTCCTCGTGGGGCGTGTCGAAGTCATCGCTCTCATCTGGGAACTGCTGGTCATAGCTCCTGGACAGCTCCAGGAGTTCTGCAAGCCGGTCCTTCATGTTGGCTGCGAGTGGAGAGAGAGAAGTTAGCTATTTCCTTCCAGCGCCTGCCCAAGACAGTTCTACATCATATTACAGTGATCCATGCAGGCCCGTGTTGATAGACAGCGCCTGATCCATCACACTTAATCCCTGGCAGTGGCCTATGTGTCCATGACAGGTGAGGGGATACAGAAAATAGGGGGCTTACACACAATGGAGCACTACTTTGGTGTGAAGAAGGATGATCATTAGAATCTGAGTCATCTGCAGGAAAACGGACGCACCTGGAGATGATCATGTTCATGACACAAATTGGAAGCACCACTTTTTTATATTATTTATTTATTTATTTTCTGTATTTTAAAGGAGGGCCGGCACGGCAGACCCAGGACTCGAACCTCTGGGCCCTGAGCCTGCTTGCAGGCACTTTAATTCACTAAGCTATTTGGCCAGCCCCAGCACCAGTTTAAATAGTGACTAGTTTCTTCCTTCCTTCCTTCCTTCCTTCCTTCCTTCCTTCCTTCCTTCCTTCCTTTTCTTTCATTCTTTTTTTCTTCATGTCAGATGGGTAGTGTGCCCATGTCCTAACAGGGCTTGAGGGAGGCACACCTCGTGCGTACGGCATGAACACCCAATCATCACACTCATGAATGAAGGATCTTGGTTTCTCTTACATGAGAAAGCCGAAGCATAAATGAAGAGCAAATAAAAGCTCATAGGAAGCAGGAAAAGGGATCTTTTGCAGATGGGGAGGAGACCAAGAGATGAGGGAAGGGAAGGAGAGAAGGGGATGAAGGAAGAATCACGCGGTGTTGTGTCTGTGCTCGTGCTCCAGCTGCACCTAAGGAAGGATTTTTAAAAATATTATCTTTTTATTGGTGGTACCAGAGATTAAACTCAGACCTTGCCCTTGCCGGGCAAGCACTTATTCCACTGAGCTGTCTCCCAGACCCCAATATCTTTTTTAAATGAGTAAGGATTCTGGGAATTCTTTAGGATGCTGGTAGAAGGGTAAAGTGACAGAATTTCCCAGAAGGTAGTTTAGAAATATATACCAAAAGCTTTCCAAGTTGCCTTTGTTTTGATGTATGACTATTTACTGTAAGGAGATATACAGACCCGTGAGGCTTGGCTCACAGCTATAAATGTGTCCATCACCATATCAGTTTTACAGCATTTCAGAGATGATTTCAGCTAAGGTACAGGCTGCCACATAAGTCACAGTTTAGGAGGTTATTTAGTGACATGAAAATCAGAAGTGCTTTCCTAGGTAGGAGGAGCAGGCAAAGAGAAAAGAGAATTCACACTGTGCTTCCAGCGGAGCAGGCCTGGCTTCCTCGCATGGAGTTGAACTGCATCCAAGTCTGCTTAGGTCAGTAGCCCGGAGAGTCTACCACGCAACAGCTGGGCAGAAGAAAGTGGGCAAATTTGGATGACAAAGCAAGAGCAGATGACAGGGCCTCTCTTGCATCTTGGCCAAGGCAGCAAGGCACCAGCTTGCTAGGCAGGCAGTGGGTCATAAGGGGCACTGCCCCCACAGGACGGGAGGGATCTGCCTGTAGGGTTCCTAGTGACCCTCCCCAGGCCCTGTGCTGTCGCTTGTTCTCTGGAGCCACGCAAACCCTACTTGGGGAAATCATCTCATCCACAAGACGAAGAGCAAAGCTTAGGCCAAACACAGTACAGAATGGTTTTGAAAACCCTTCCTGCTCTCTGATGAATGTGATCATTATGTATATTAAAATGTACAATAAATTGATTTTTATAAAAAAAACAAAGACCTTTAAGGAGAGTGACTCTTCTATGATAGGCCCTCAGGGAGGTGAAGGCCTAAGCTTATTTGAAGACCCAGGCCCACAGTCCGGTGAGGAGGGAGAAAGGAAGGGCACAGGGTGTGAAGCTCCTCCAGCCATCCAGCCCTCTCTTCCTCCCACGGGCCAGCCCCAGTAGGGGGTCCCACCCACACTGAAAGGCTTCTGGTCACCAGGGAGCAAGAACCAAGAAATCCACAACAGTAAGTCCACCAACAATCACCCAGAGCCAGGAATGTCGCGCAAAAGTTTAGGAATACAGACCTTATTAAAGTGGTGACAAGCTATAGAAGAGGGTACCAAAAGACCATCAAAATGACCTTCACATCCAGTAGCCTGATTCTGCACCCTGAGAGCCCAAAAAAGAACTACGGTAAACGACAAAGACCAAGCAATTCCACTGACCTTCGTGTCTCACTGTGATAAGGGGTAATGCAGAAAGCTTTAGTAAACTGTATTCATAAAGGTGCTAAAATAAGTGATGCTTAGATTCACATAGACAGAAAGAATTCAAAGGAAGATCTTTAACCAGGTACCATATAACTGCGTCGTTTTCTAATTTTCCTTTTAGGCATGCATATTATCTGTTCTAAAAACCAAATCCTGTAGGGAAAGAAGGGAGAATTGTTTAAAGCTTTGTTTATTGAATAATAAAATTTTATGTAAGAGGAACAAAGAAAAAGATGATAGGTAAGTGGCTGTTAGTCATTAGAAGGCAAACGAGTCACCTGGAAACCTTCAAAGATTGCAGACACCTGGGCAGCTACTTATACCTAAACCTACTTTTTCTTTTTTTTAATGTATTTAGTACAGGGTCTACAGGGTCTCACTACATAGATCGGATTCATGGTGATTTTCCTGTTTTCAGCCTCCCAAAGTGCTGGGATTACAGATGCGCACCACCACGCCCAGTCTCAATCACAGTCTCAGTGTACCTCCAGGGTGGGGCTGTCACAGCATGCCAGGGATTGAACCCTGGCCACTGCGCTTTGCCTAAGCAGGAGCTTTAGACCACTGAGCTGTCTGGCCAGCCCCCTAAACCTACTGTTGATCCAGGAGGTTTGAGATACTGGCCATTTAATTCTAATACACACTCACAGTTGTTACCATTCCATAGTACCTACTGTGCCAGCTCTTTATTCATAAAAATCCTACAGTTCTGGAGAACTTCCATAGTCCTCAGTATGGTGGCAGTTTTAGAGAGCAAAGAATTTACTAAGAAAGGAACAGGTGGCTGCTGGCAACCTTCCTAAGCACTACCTGCCAGTCCTTGGGGTGGATGCAAGCCAGAGAAGGAGTCAAAGTCAATTGAGAACTCACCCTCAGTCTAGAGTCCTATGATCTACGGAAGCCCAAAAGCCCAAGAATGTTAGATAACTCCAAACTCTTCCTTTTTGGTGAATGATTATAATTACTGAAGGCACCAACCAGAGGAAAATATTTTTCAAATGGAAAATCAAGCTTTAAATTCTTCATATTCACAAATAAATTCTCTGACATCATTCAGTGAACAGTTAGCTAAAGATACTGGTCACTGGAACATCAGTCCTGATGGGGAAAACCTGCCGTATTTGACAAATAAAATCTTAAGATTTTCTGTCAAATCATGAAGAAAAGATGCTTGCTTCAAATGTGAGATACCTTGGCTTTGATTCCCCATGACAACACACATACACACACGCAAAAAAGATGAAAATGAATGGGAATGTTAATACCATATGTAAATAACCAGGGGCTGGGGAGATGGCTCAGTGGAATAAGTGCTTCCCTGGCAAGCGCAAGGGCCTGAGTTCAATCCCTGATTCCGCCAAAAAAAAAAAAAAAAAAAATACACTGGATTCTAAAATAAATAAATAAATCATAAAAGTTATGGTTCCCAATTTGCTCCTAGTGAACTTTTTGGGCTTGCCAAATAGCTCAGTGGATTAAAGTCCTGCTTAGGCAGATGCAGGGGCCAGGGGTTCAAATGAGACTGGGCATGGTGGAGCATGCCTGTAATCTCAGCACTTGGGAGGCTGTAAACAGGAGGTTCACTGTGAGTCCAATCTACATAGTGAGACCCTGTGCTAAATTAAAAAAAAAAAAAAAATCTAATGAACTTTTTATGAACACAATGTCCAGAGGAGAAGCTTTGTGCCCACTTACGATGAGGAACAAGAAAAAAATGTTTGTGTGTTGTTACGGCTGATGTGTGTCCCTCCATCCCCCACCTGCCACACCCACCCACGCAAATGCCCTGACCCCAGCATCTCAGGATGTTGCAGAATTTGCAGCAGAGACCTGTAGGCATGTAGCTAGGTCACAGTGTAGCCTACGGGGCTGAAGTTATTTTTTAAGTACTGAGAAACTTCAAATGTGGGGGAATACACTGTAAAGCAGAAAAAAGCACAGAGTGAATCCTGTGAGGTTCCTTTTGAGATCATAGGAGGGAAACGTGTGCGAGGGTCCGGACGTCTGGGTTCATGATACGGGTGTTAGACTTCATTCTGCTTCAATGTAAGTTCAGAAGGTTACTGTCTTGAGAGGGACGAAGGGACGTTTGTAGATAGACACGCACAGGTTTTGCATATAATATGCAGCTATTTATAAAGCAAAAAAGATCTTGGCCCCAGATATTTTGAGCTGAGCATATTTCTGCATGCTCCAAATATGGACTTTCTAACAGTACTCATGTTCTGATTTCCAGATTTTCTGTATCTATCTCTGAGTCCCTAATATTATACTAATTTGGAAACTATTTGTAGCCAAAAATGCATGATTTGAGGTGCAAAAGCAGCTGCATTATCCAACATATCAAAGCATGAGGTTCTTCCACATAAGTGACCTTAACAATCACCAAAACATCTGCATTATCCAACGTATCAAAGGTATTCTCCAGTCTTTCCTGGAAACCCTCTTCTGAAACACACTGCTACACTTCACCGCTTCCTCAGAGAGGACACTGACACCATTTATTGATGACTCTGACGTCACTGTTAACAACTTTCAACTATGTTTTGTTTGCGTTAGTATGTTTCTCTCGGGTTAAAAGGTCCAGCCTTACTAATCCATCCCCACAAACCACCACCAGTGATCTCGCTTTCCTTACGGACTGCTTAGGCTAACGCATCAACCAAGCATGTAACTACGGTTAAGTGAGTTGTGAACCAGCGTCCCTCAAGAATCAAGCGTGCTAAGTAAAGCACGGAATGAAAAACTACCTCAATGACACA